AATGATAATATTGTTGTTTTCAAATTATATTTGTCGTAAAACATTGACCCATACATTTTCACATTTTTACCATATTTGCTAGTAGTGTTATTATTCAATTTAATTTATTTATTTACTTTCACTATGATGTATATCATAACTGAATAAAATTTTAATCAAAACACATGACTAAAATCATTTGACATTGTGATGTTGTAAGAGTTTATGTAAATAGAGTTAAATGTAAAAAATATTCAAAAATAAAAATAAAAAAATCATAAGTTAAGAGATAGTTATTACAGATATGACATATATGTTCAAAGTTAATATGAAAAGCAAAGTTATCTTAGAAAAAATATATATCATAGAAAAAATATTCATGTTAGAAATTTTTGACTATTGATTATGGCATCTATATCGTAAATACCAATAATCATCTGTGATCGAATCACAGTTAACCGACATAATCTTAGCAAACTCATGCAAAGAAAACGTTAATGGTAACAAAACCAACTCAAATATAACCATTGAACAAGTCTACCATATGTACGAAACTTGTTTAACATACGACACTTCAAAACAAGTCTACCACACCTCTGGTTTTTTCGTAGATAGGACAATACTTTTAGGACAAAAAAGTAATTTCAATCCATAAAGTCAAATGTCTGCCAAACATTAACAACTAAGTCTACCTCAAGCATGAAAAATAACTCTACCACATATACAAGTCTACCATAAGCACCTCATATGTCTACCAGATCGAGGTTATCTTTGTAAATACCAAACTTAATTAATCTACCACATGATTATTATAAGAAGTCTACCATACGTACGATAACTCTACCAGATTACATAAACTCTACCAAACAAACAAACATATCTACCAATATTCTGTAAGTCTACCTCATGATAAATTTTACTTGAATTTAAATCTACCACAAAACAAATAAATCTACCAACATTCTGTAAGTCTACCTCATGTAACAAATAATCTACCACTCACTAGAATGAATTTTACTTGAATTTAAATCTACCACAAAACAAACATCTCTACCACAAAAGCGAAAAATCTACCAACAAGATATAACTCTACCATAAAACAGATATATCTACCATCACGTATTGACACATAAATCTACTGCCAAAGGACATAAGTCTACCAACTCAGAAAATAAATCTACTTCATTGTCAATAAATCTACCGAGAAAGTCAATTATGCGAGAAAGTCAACGCTTTCTTTAACAAGTCTACCAGCACCTTTGACAAGTCTACCATTCATAACAATAAATCTACCGAAACATAATAAATCTACCTCTCATCGTCAAAACTCTACCAAGATAAGTCTACCAATATTTGTAAACTCTACCAACTCTCGAATAAATCTACCATCGACCTAATAACTCTACCGACAAAATTTTTGCGTTGACCAAAATTTGATAAGTCTACCGTCAAAGCCTGGTAGACTTATCAAATTTTCAGCGCTATAATCTGCCTACGTGGCATTAAAAAAGTAATGGCATTTTCGTAATTAGGTTTTTTTTAATAAAGGAAAAAAGGGTGTTTTGGGTATGCTAGGTTAGTTTTGTAAAAAAATAAAAGTATGCCAAACAAATAATATAGATACTTTCTAAGGTTAGTGTAGTAATCCTCCCTATATTTTAAATGATAACCAAGCATACATCTACGTACGACAATCAATAGAAGTTAAGGACTGCTCGTGTATGGTCCGACCTCGAGACATCCCCATATTTACAAACATACCCTCCAAAACAATCTAAACATCAGTATTCTGAACATCAAACTAACATGCGATTCTAGACATGAAATCGGATTGCACATAGATTGGTCAGGCCTAGATCGGCCCTAGATTAGGTTTCCATTTGTACAAATCACCATAAAGGGACATAGTGGAATGGCAAAATTTGGGAGACAATGAAAGTAAGAAGAGCACCAACCGGCTCAGTTTTACTCCAACTCTTTCCTTATTCCTCCTTTTCATTTGATCAGTTCATTTTTAGCTAAACGATTTTTCACAAAATCTTATCATAAATGCATTCAACGTCAGCGTGAAATAATTCTAATTCACCATATCATTACATTAGTAATAAGTAATTTAAATAGTGACATGTGTTACTATCTTATTGTTCAAAATTTATTTTTTTAGCAGAACAAATAAATAAATTATTTTTTTCTCAAAACGGAAACTATGAAATTGAAAAATTAACTAAAATAAGAAAAAAAATTGAAAATATGAAATACAGATTTATTAGAATAATAATAATTTGTTATCGTGTATTATAAAATATTTTAATGTACAATTACGGTTTAGGGGCTGCTTGGTAGGGATGGGTACTTTAGTTTATTTTCGGGTTTGGTTTGAGTTCGGTTCAATTTGGTTTAATAAAATTCTAACCAAACTCAACCGAAATAAGTTTGGTTCAGTTTGAGTTCAGCTTGGTTTAGCTTAATTTGGTTTTAATTTGATTTAAAAAATCAATTTTAAAAAAAAAAAATCGTGTGTTGGTTTAGGTAAAATTTCATATTTCACTATATTTTAAAAAACTAGTATTATGAATTAACTAATAAAATAAATAAAATAAATATATTGGTTTATTAGTTTGGTTTGGTTGAAAATCAAACTAAACCGTTTGGATTGTGAAAAACATTAACCAAACGAATTATATATAAAAAATGTATCGGTTTAATTTAGTTTAAGTTCAGTTTGTTCGGTTGGTTTGGTTCAGTTCGGTTTTTTGTCCACCTCTACCAGATCCTTCCCAGCACACTCCAATGGTTTGTGTTGCCGATTGCAGCTTCGTTGTCTCAGATTCACCACAGTTGTTTGGTGTTTGGCTATAAAGACTTTTTTTTTTAGTTTTAAAATTCAAAAATTTACCAAACATATTTATACTCCCTTTTTTTTTATCTCTAAAGCTTCAATTGCCCACTTCTTCTTTTTTACTCTTCAAACTTCCCTTTTAAAAAAAACTATGTTAGTGAAATTTTTAATATTTTTAAGTTTAAAGTTTTTATATTAAAAGCAAAAGTGTTTACGGTTTATGTTTTAAGTAAAAGTGTAAAGTAAAAACCCATACCAAGCAATCTCTTAAAAGTTTTACACGTCTGCATTTTCGTTATTGAATTCTTTATCAACGAATTATCAAACGATATAACAAACAAAAATTTTGAATTCTTTATTAAAAACATATCAAACAACAACAAAATATTTTTAATACTATCTCGTTCATTTAGATTGAATAATCTGGATTAATTTGGAATTTTCTTGATTTACGTTTACAAAACATCATTTCTAGATAACTAAATGAGAATCTTAACATAAAATCTACTTATATATGTCATAAGGTGTGCATTATCTCTTATTTTGAATTAAATTTAAATTTTATTCAACAAAGAAGCTTTTGTATAACGAATGTGAATGTTTTTTGAAAAAAAAATGTAGATAACATGCTCCAAATTTTATTTAAATGATGCTCAATCGATGGTTCTTCATCGGCCTGAGTCAAGTGTTTGAGCTTCAAACCACATTTCGAGACATATGTGAATGGAGGTTAGTCGGTTACATTACAAACCATCATGTCAATCGTCTTGATGAGCCGAGGGAAGAGTGAATGCCATGTCTACGTTCATTTCTTTTATGCCAAATTTGATATAAGGTGGCCAGTGTAAAAAAAAATGAAGAGACTAGTTTGGTCAAGCTTTGAGGTGTGGAGTAGTTGGATCAGTGCCGTTTCGAACAAATTTGAGACCTGTGCTACTAATTTACAATAGATCTTATAATATATAATTTTTTTAAATATTTATATGGTGAACTAATAAAAATATTTACCATATATAGGAGTGAAAGGTAAGTAAACAATCACTGAATAATTAATTTGAAAATTTTCATAAACAATGATTATTATATAACATTAAACACTTCAACTATCAAAAATATATGAAAAAAATCTATCAAAAACCAAATGTATACCTTATAAACCACTTAAAAACAATGAGAATAAAATTAATTATGATAAAAAAGCTTTTGTAAAAACCTTCTATTATGTTGACACTTGATACTATATGTTGTTTTTAAAATTTGTTTGTATTTTTTTCATAAATTTTTTTTTAAAAGCAAATTTTTTAAAAGTTATATTAAGTCTAAAATTATATTGGGCTCTGTGTTATATCCCAGATCACATGTGCTAAGTGCCGGCACTGAGTTGGATAATGACATCCCACTCCGTAGTAAACTGAGAACCAAGCAGAAATAAGTAAGGGAGCCCCAAATCTAAGAGGTGACGTGAGAAAAAATGTGTGATCTTGTTTTCTCCATGTGACCGTATGGCACACAATTTGTTTGTTGGCTTAAATTCCAAGTGCTTATACAATCTCTCGTAGATAGTCTATTGAGGATAACAAGCTAGCTATGAGAAAAAATTATTGACATTATAATTGTGTGAATTATCAATTTTAGAGTATACAAAAAAAAAATTTCTGCGTATCACTCAAATACCTTTCTAGTTGTCTATAATATTTCTCTATAAATTTCAAAAGTTAAATTCAATCACCTTTTGAAATCTACTGGTGCTTTAAATATCGTGTCAATACTATTGCAAAAGAAGCTCAAACACGATGTTTTTTATTTTCTCATATTGGTTATAGAGAGTTTATAAAATATGTTTCACAGAACATTTCTCTTATTAGACACATATGATTCAATAGATGGATTGTTGGATTGTTGACAAAAAAAATGTAATGTTAGAAATATCCAAAAGAAATTCATACCAATTCCACAACAGTTTACCAACCACAACAAAACACATTGTGGTCAATAATAAAAACAAAAAACAAAACAAATCGCATTTCTAGATCTGAGCCGGTGGTTTAGTAACTTGATCTGATGGTCCAGGTTGGCTTCAATGACATCATCAGCAATAATAATGTCTTCCACTCACAAAGCGCCACGTCAAAAATCCAGCTCAATCATCGGCCACGTCTGCTTCCAAATTCTCTTAGTTTCTTCTGGTCATGCATACATTATACAGTTGTGTTTTAAAGACGAAGATCTGGAATTTCGTTCAGTTTCTTCTTCGTTTTTCTTCGGTTTCGTTCTGTGAGATCGGTGAGGAGGAAGACGAAATCATGTTTTTGTTCGATTGGTTCTACGGAATCTTGGCGTCGTTAGGGTTATGGCAGAAAGAGGCGAAAATCTTGTTTCTCGGGCTCGACAATGCCGGAAAAACCACGTTACTTCACATGCTCAAAGACGAGGTTCGTTTTCCTATTGCTCGCTTCCTAGATTCAATCTTCTCGGTTCCAGGCCTGTGAAGAGAATTACTCAGAACTTAAGGGTCTCAGTTTTAGTAGCCTTCTCGGATTTTGCATCTAGTTATTGGGAATTTATCGATTGTGAGTAATTGTGGATCGAATCAAGAGGAATTGTCGATAGTGGTTAGTTTTGTGATTGTTTGCATCGGCTCACATATCAAAATGGCTTAAATCTAATTTCAGATTTTGTGTTGTTTGATTGTGCATCGGGTCACTATACCAAAATGGCTAAAATGAATCTGAGATCTTTTGTGTTTGTGTGATTGGTGACAGAGATTAGTTCAGCACCAGCCGACACAACATCCAACGTCTGAGGAACTTAGCATTGGCAAAATCAAGTTCAAGGCTTTTGATTTGGGAGGCCATCAGATTGCAAGAAGAGTTTGGAAAGATTACTATGCCAAGGTAGATTCTCTTTCGCCTTTTCAATGATGCAAATCAAACGTCCTTGGAGTTTTGGTGATCATCAAACTCTTTTTCTTATTTTGTGAAAAGTGTTTGTTTACTAAGCCAAATGCAATACATTTGTTGCTTTGAACAGATTCATTGCTTTGATTGTGATTGGCATTTTAATAGAAGTTTAGATGGAATTATTCTTTGTTACATCATTGGTTACATTCATTTCCTTCAAGATGTTTTCAATCATGATCAGATCTACTAGAAATTGTAAATACCAACAATTTCTTTGTTTTAACCGGTTATGGATGCTGTGGTTTGAAGCTTTTGGCATAAAGGTTATGTTGGGGTCGTACTTCTTGGTTATATTACCTCTCATTCTCTGGCTACATTAGGATGCAAGATATTCTCTGGCTATATGGTACCAGAGTTGTTTGAGATCGATCTATAGCTTATGGTGTATCAAACTGGGTCATTCTCATACCAGCGATATAATCATAGATATGAGTTTTGTAGAGAAAACTAGAAGGATGTTTTCGTGGATTTGTTACTGGGTTAACATAATACGACCCTTAAAATCGGTTTTATTAGTCTGTAGAGAAACGTGGTCTTCTCTTTGCTGATCGAAACTCTTTTTTTCTTTGCATAAAGGTTGATGCTGTTGTCTACCTCGTGGATGCTTATGACAAGGAGAGATTTGCAGAGTCAAAAAGAGAGCTAGACGCTCTTCTGTCGGATGAAGCCCTTGCAACTGTCCCGTTTCTGATTCTCGGAAACAAGATTGACATCCCTTATGCAGCCTCAGAAGACGAGCTTAGGTATCACTTGGGTCTCACCAACTTCACCACCGGTAAAGGAAAAGTAACGCTTGGAGACTCAGCTGTTCGGCCACTCGAGGTCTTCATGTGCAGCATTGTCCGCAAAATGGGCTACGGCGAGGGATTCAAATGGCTATCTCAGTACATCAACTAAAGACATCATCATCATCATTTTTTTTTATATATATCAAAACCAAACTCAAGAACATTTTTTCTACAATTTGTCTCTTTGAGCTAAAAGCATTTATGAACTTTTTCCAAACTTGTTTATGTTTCGGTTTCGGTTCACATTTTTGTCTACTGCTTGTGTTTTATTCAACATTATCCTTAAGTTAGACAACCACCCTTTTTGTATGTACTTACTTAAAAGTTGATCGGTTTTATGGATTTTAGGCTTTTAGCCAAAGCTTGCTGATTTTGGTACCTTAATCTTTAAATAATACAAAAAGGTTGAACATCGCTAAACATGATAAAATGATTAAAAATTTAAAATCCTAACATGAACAGAAAGAGTCAACGGACGATATTTGCAGTTAAAGAGGAAAAGATATTGTGGGACAACACAAAGTCCCATCTGTTCACTTTCCTACAAATTCAGCGTTCGCCCTTCCCTAACCGGTAAGTCTCTCCGGTTATCTAAAATTTCCGGTGAGAAACCTGTTGAAATTCCCCGGAAAATTTGATTCAAAACGATCTTAAACCTCGTTGTACCATATTTGGATTCTTCAAGCTCTAAAGTTGATTGCGAAAAATTAGATTTTTCCATAGCTCCTTTCACTTTCTTTTGCTTTACATAAGATTCATATCGAGCTGCTTGATTCTTCCTCCAAATTCTTACTTTGACATGGTATCTTTTGGCCAACATTAACAGGTTTCAAATTGTTTAGAATTTGATGGGTTTTGATCCTGAAGAAGCTGTTTCTGGGTTTAGAGATGAGGAACCTGATAGTCCTGAACCAGCAAGAGCTCTGTGTTTACACGCATTCTCAGATTTAACCCATGTATCTCCGGTTGTGTTCTTATATCTTCTCAAACAATGCTATATTCACGGTAATAAAGTCCTAAGCTTTATGGCTTTTTTTTTCCAAAGTCGGTAGCATTTGTGTTTCGAGTTTTATTTACTTTCAGTATATTATTCAGGAAGCTGCAAGGCAACAAAGAAGTTTCAAGTGTTGCAGCATCGAGTTCATCAAGTTCTTGCCAATAAACCTCAACCAGGGCCTGCAACTTTCATTGTTCATTGCCTATATGTTCTCCCTATGTTTGGAATATATGGTGATGGCTTTAGCCACTTGGTGATATCCTCTCTTCGCCGCTACTTCAAAACAGCGCCTGCACCGGCGAGCCAAGAAGACGTTTCCTCCGCGAGAAGACTAGCTGCTCGGCTTTTCCTTGCTATTGTTGGAGGATCTGTAGCGTATGATGAGAAAGTAATGGTGCATACTCTTAAACTGTTTGATGTTGGGTTAACAAGCATAGATGAAGCTTTGTCCTTGGAGGGATTTGCTTGTGGAGGAGGAAGTGTGTTTCTGGAAGAATACATTTCCAGCTTGATCAAGTCGAAATGTTTCATGACGGCGGTTTCTTTGTTAGAGCATTTCTCTCTTAGCTTCCCTGGAGGAACCTTTCTTCAAGAGATGGTTGATGATAAAGACTTCCAAGCTGCAGAGAGATGGGCTACTTTCATGGGGAAGCCCAGTTTATGCGTTCTTGTTCAAGAATATGCCTCAAGGAATATGCTAAAGCAGGCCTATAATGTCATAAAGAAGAACAATCTCCAGCATGATTTCCCCGATTTGTGTCACAAATGTAAAGAGAGGTCGATTTTGCTTCTCATTGTAAACAGTATACAGCTTTCACTTTTACCTATCAAAAACCAAGATGTACCACATAAAGATAACACTTTTCCAATTTATGTGCAGTGCACTAAAGGATCTAGCAGAAAAAGCATGCTGGGATGTTGCTGAAATAAAGGCACAAGGTGACAGACAGCTGCTTGAGTATCTGGTTAGCAATACTTGTACATATAAACAAAGGAAACTTGTCATTTTCATAGGGAGTGTTGTAAAGCAGATGTGGTCATTTGCCAAAATGTTGGTGGGGTTTTGAGTTTTTAGGTATACTTGGCAATGGAAGCTGGGTACATTGAGAAGGTTGATGAGCTGTGTGATCGATATTCACTTCAAGGTCTGCCAAAAGCACAAGGTATGTATTGGTACATAGAACTTCTCTCTAGTGTGTTTAAAACGACAAGAGGCTTACAATGGTATCTTTTATGTTGCTCAGAGGCTGAGCTTGGTTTTGTTGACAAATGCTTTCTGCATCTCAAAGATCTAGCTGTGGAAGATGTAGTTTGGGTTGATGAAGTAAATGGGTTAAGAAAAGCAACTTCTTTTCTTGAAGGATGTAGAGTTGTGGGTCTTGACTGTGAATGGAAACCAAATTACACGAAAGGCAGTAAACCTAACAAGGTAATTACTCTTAGCTTCTTAACGTTCCTAACATGTTGTAATAATATACTTATCGTTATTGTGCCTGTCTTGTTTTCAGGTTTCAATTATGCAAATTGGAACTGATAGCAAAATTTTCATATTGGACTTGATAAAGCTTTACAATGACGCCTCTGAAGTTCTGGACAGCTGCCTTAGTCAGATTTTGCAATCGTTTAAAACATTAAAGCTTGGTATATGAGTCATTTACCCCTCTTTCTTTGCTTACCTTATTAAGATTCTCTTTGACTGAAAGCATCACACTGATCATCAATTATTCTCAGGTTACAATTTTCAATGTGACATCAAGCAATTGGCGCTTTCGTATGGGGATCTGGAGTGTTTCAAGCGCTATGACATGTTGCTAGACATTCAAAATGTTTTCAAAGAACCATGTGGTGGTTTATCAGGACTAACGAAGGTAATTTACAAATCATTTGATACTGCATCACCACTTCGAAAGCTAGATTTAGGGTTTGAACATCTTAAGTTGTTTATTTATCATTTGATTTCTTTGTTCTGTATCAGAAAATATTGGGAGTCGGTTTGAACAAAACAAGACGCAATAGCGACTGGGAACAAAGGCCTTTGACACAGAACCAGGTTTATAATCCTAATCATTATCTGTTCAGCTAGAGCCTGACTGACACGAAAAAAACCGCCGGAGAATGTTTCATATTTTCGTTGTCTACGTTATGAGGAACCACAATCGCTATATAATTAGAGGCTGCTTGATAATAACTGAATTGTGCAGCTAGAGTATGCTGCTCTCGATGCTGCAGTGCTGATTCACATATTTCGCAATGTTCGTGATCATCCTCCACATGACAGTAGTTTAGAGACAGTCCAGTGGAAATCTCACATTGTAAGTAACTCTCTTAAAAGCCCTTAACTTTCATCCTGTTATCTAAGCTAGTTTAGTCAAAATCTTCCTCTTTCAAGCCTTATTTAAAAATATGAGTTTGAAGATAACTTAAAGAGTGGGTTTTGTTGGGATGATATGTGATGTAAATGGCATTTGCTCTGTAAAGCATGAGTATTATCAGAGACGTGGAAACTAAGGTCAGCAAATATTTGTGCAGGTCTCCCACATGGATCACCCAAAGAAGTTGAAGAAGAAGCCTAAGTGCCATTCGACAGAAACCTCAGCTTCGACATTTAACAAGCCGTCCGGCAATTAAAACAGAGTAGAAAGTGTAAAGATTTGCTCAAACTCTAAAATGAAAACGGTACAATTAACAGTAGTTCTTATGTAGAATTGAAACCGTGTCACAAAAGCTTCCCGTGAAAGAAAAAAGAGAAATCTTCGTTTCAGAGCAATAAACAATGATAGGATATAATCTTCTATACTCATAGATTGACAAAAGTAGGATTCACAGGATAAACGGTGCCAAACCAAGAACTAGTCCAATGAAAAAACCTGGCAGCTTGTTATCGGCCTTGTCAAAGAATAGTCCTTGAGTATAATCTCCAACGTTGAAGTTTCCTGTATATCCAAGCACAAAACAAGTTCATGTTTAGGTTATGGATTATGTGCAAGGATGGAAAAGTTTCATAGTTAAAACCTCGTGTGAAGGAGTTGCTGCAGCCACCACGAAGGGCGTTCCTGATATCTCTCGGTGTAGCCCGATTGTAAAACACGAAATCAGACATGACGCTGTTAATGCATTTAAGTACAAGTTCTGTCTCAGCTGCACAAGGGCCATTGCAGAACCTGTCTGTGTCTTCGAGTGGGACCTTGAATTCACCTCCTTGGTTTAGTCTGAATGCCTCATTACACCCTCTATAGAGCTGCAAACATGGAGACAAGTAGCTATTGTCAAAATGTGTTTTTTGTTTGTGGTTTTGATCATTGATCATATACTTACGAGGTTATTGTTGAAGCAGAATGCAGCTCTCTGAACCAAAATCCCTGCGCCACCGATGACACCACCAGCCTGCGCATAGACTGCATCAAGAACGGAATTAGATAAGTGAACAAAAGGAATCTGGGACTTTAAAAACAAACCAAAGTGCACCTGAGTGTCTTTGGCTATCAAAGAGCAACACTACATAGATTAGCCAAAATCTTAACACTTTTGGAACATCCATGTAGAATAGAGAGAGGTTTTGATACTTTGAATCGATCTGATTTTATGGTGAGTAGTGCACACAATATATAAAGTTTTAGTACATACAGCAAGGTTGGTGGTCTAACTTGGGAATAATGTTTCAATATAACATCAAAGCTGTTGACAAAAATGTGGACCGAGACATGAACAAGTTTGGAAATGCAAGTCACCAAACTTGTATTAAATTAAAAGAGAAAACTACAAAACCAAAAAGTAAAAAGAGTGTTCATGTCTTCTCTGAGAAGGATGTGATATCATCATTCACCAATCTTTTAGCTAAAAAAAGACAAATTGTACGGAAATCTTCTTGGGTTTGGTTTGATATATGAAAGTGACATATTGATGATGATGTCTTTAGTTGATGTACTGAGATAGCCATTTGAAACCCTCGCCGTATCCCATTTTGCGGACGATGCTGCACATGAAGACCTCGAGTGGCCGGACAGCTGAGTCCCCAAGCGTTACTTTTCCTTTACCGGTGGTGAAGTTGGTGAGACCCAAGTGATACCTAAGCTCATCTTCTGAGGCTGCATAAGGAATATCAATCTTGTTCCCAAGAATCAGAAACGGGACAGTTGCAAGGGCTTCATCCGACAGAAGAGCGTCTAGCTCTCTTTTTGACTCTGCAAATCTCTCCTTGTCATAAGCATCCACGAGGTAGACAACAGCATCAACCTTTATGCAAAACCAAAAGGAAAAAGAGTTTCTATCAGCAAAGATAATACCATGTTTCTCGGCATTCGATAAACAGAAATAAATACGAATATGCTAACCCAACACACTTCTAGTTTGCTCTACAAAACTCATATTTATGAGATGATCTGGTTTGTTACCACCGTAAGCTATGTTAAACAATACTGGGACGACATATACTGGCTCAATATCGTTGTAATACTTTCAATATCTACAGTCATATCAAAGACGCTACACATATATTCAATTGTAATGTAACCAGAGAAATAAATATTACCAAGAAGTACGTCCCCAACATAATCTTTATGCTAAATGGTCCAAATCATAGAATCCATACCCGGTTAAAACATATAAATGGTTAGTATTTACAATTTCTACAAGATCTGATCATGATTGAAAACATCTTGAATGAAATGAATGTGACCAATATGTAATTGAATTGTGATGTAACAAAGAGTAATTCCATCTAAGCTTCTATTAAAATGCCAACTACAATCATTATACACAAAAGAAGTAATGAATCTGTTCCAGGCAACAAATGTATTGGCTTTAGCTTACTAAACAAACACCTTTCCGTAAACACAACATGAGTTTGATGATCTCCAAACTCCAAAGATGTTCGATTTGCATAGAGAATGTACCTTGGCGTAGTAATCTTTCCAAACTCTTCTTGCAATCTGATGGCCTCCCAAATCAAAGGCCTTGAACTTGATTTTGCCAATGCTAAGTTCCTCAGAGGTTGGATGTTGTGTCGGCTGGTGCTGAACTAATCTCTGTAACCAATCACACAAACACAAAACATCAGATTCATTTAGCCTTCACTCTCCATTTTGATGCACAATCACAAAACTAACAAAAATCGGATAATTCCCCTAAATCAGACATGAAGCCTACTAAAATAAATGTCCTAAATCACAGGCCTGGAAACGAGAAGAAGAAAAACATTGAATCTAAGAACCGAACAGTGGAAAAAAAAACAAACCTCATCTTTGAGCATGTGAAGTAGCGTGGTTTTTCCAGCATTGTCGAGTCCGAGAAACAAGATCTTCGCCTCTTTTTGCCATAACCCTAACGAGGCTAAGATTCCGTAGAACCAATCGAACAAAAACATGATTCCGTCTTCTTCCTCGCTGATCTTTTGAAATCGGAAAAATAAAATAAAAAACAAATTCTGACCTTCGTATCGATTCCTACATACATATGCCCAGAAAATAAAAGAAAATTAGGAAACAGATCGCTGGAGCCGGTGATCGAGCTGGAATTATGACGTGGCGCATAATGAGTGGATGGCAATGTAATGGTTTGATGAACCGCAAAAAACAGGTGATTGAAAACCTTTTTTTCGACAACGAAATATGTAAATAGGCGAAATATGATATTTACTGCTGTATATAAACCGATTTTTGAATTTCAGTATACAATCGCAATTCTCAATCTTAATCAATCGTGACAAAATATCCTAATCTTTTGAGTTATATAAATTATACGTGTCACACTCACATTAAAAGATTAATCTTTATATAATACGAATTGTGATTCGTATTTAGTTTATCCATATTTAGTTTATGTTGTGATCAAACATAAAACATTACTATCTATGTTATTATTTACGAAGTCAAAAATCTTATGTGTCGTCTCCAGAACGATCGTTCTACATGTTATTAATATGTGTCATTTTAATTAATTTTTATTGGTCAATCATTAATCATACATGTTAAAATTTATAACATAAATTTATTTATTCTAAATGGGCCTCATAAGCCTGAATGATCTACTATAGGCTAGCGATTTCAAAAACATTCACAAATCGGTGTTAACTAAAAATCTAATGTGTCCATCTGACTATATATATACTAAATAAAAACCCAGATACATAGGGGTTTATAGTTCATTATTTTATAACCGGTAAAAAAAAATAACTAAAAACCTCTTTTATATAGAAATAAAAAATTTATTTATTTTTTCCTTTTTTAAATTAGTAATTTATTGTTTAATTTTATTCATCTAAATGTGAAAAATAAAATAAAAATTATTTTTCTTTTCTTATTAACTCTATATTTTAGAATAAAATTTATGTTTTTTAGTTTTTTATTTTATTTTTTATTTAGTAATATTATCTTATATGATTAAGATTAAGATTACGAATAGATTATAGTTTTTTCTTATTAACTTTGGCTTTTATTTTAATTGTATGTTCTATTTTCTTTATATATTTGATAACTTTACATTTTAGGATTCGGAAACGATTTTAATTTTTTTCCATTTATTATTAATATTACATATCGGAATCTAATTGAAAATTTATTAAACACGTGTCAAAATCTAATTGTTTATCTTGACAGGTGTCACGATCTCGCGAATTACTAACTTTGAAACACTCTACTCATATATATATAGAGAGATAGATCTTTGTTTTGTTAGATATAACACTGATGTTTTTTATGTCTAGCGCTTTTTCCCCCTTTTGTTTGTTCATTATTTAATAATTCTATTAATAATTTGCATACGATTGTTTTCGTACGTTTTGTTTTCTTTATGCTTGATACATTATTTCATCATGTGGACGCTTTTGTATCACGTCGTTTGGACGATCTATAGCGTCTGAAAATGTCATGCTCTTTTGTTTTTTTTAAGAATAGTACATGATTAGTTTCTAAAGTTTTTTTTATCCCAATTCGTATATTTTTTTTTCGTCTGCTTCATCTATTGTTTCGTTCAGTGTTTGATCGATACACCACTTCATCATGTGGATGTTTTGTATCTCACCAGGTGTGTGACTCATAAACAAATGATCTAATGTGTATTTAAACATGTTGTGGTTCTTTTGTTTAGTCTTTTTTTTTAAGTAGAAACGTAATTACTACCTAAATTCCTTTTGTTATGTACACAGTTTGTATCTTTTGTTTCTGATTTGTATATTTTATAATGATTTGTTTCACCTATTTGTATTGACGAATTTTCTTGTATTTTTTTCTTTCACTCGAAATTGATTCGAACTAACGTGTTTTATTTTTTTATTGGTGTGAGTCTTTGAGTTGATTAAGTGAGTAAAAAGAAAGGTAATTATTTAGGTTCGTGGAGTTTGTCTACTCTGCCGTGTTGTTTTGCGGGTTTAATCATGAGAGTTCTTTGTGGAAAATGTGGAAAATGTGTACGCAATGTGTTCTCTTTGTGGAAAATCTAAACTCTAGCAAGACCTTTGTGGAAAATGTGTTCTTTTTGAAGAGAACAAACTCTGCAAGGGTAATCGTTGGTGTCACCATGATCTTAGCCATTTGATAGAATCCAACTGGACAAAAACAAAAGCTTTCAAGTATGAGATAAGAAGATAAAACAAAGCACAATCTCTTTATCTCTTCAGTGTCTGAACTTCGATCTACATAGTTTGATTAGGGCTATCAAAGGTCAATTTACAGCTTGAGCTATAAATCTTGATGCAATCATTCCAGATTGAGCTATGAACCTGTTGTGATTGAGGCTGGTATTAGCGAGACCAGAAGCAAAGGTCAAGACAGATCCAAAAGAGAAGAGAGAGAAGAACGGTATTGTCTTTGATGTAGGAGACATATTTGAAGTGATTAGAGAGAACTTAAGAAAGCTAGAAGTATCCAAGCTACCAAAAGGATTGTTTACCTACTTACATTCCATGGTTCCGCGACCACGCTTTTGAGAAAGAAAAGAACCGAGAAGACAAAGTGACTAAAGCTAAGAAATGGATTGTTTATCTACACTATGATACAATGGTTTTTCGCCCGTGCTTGCGAGAGTCAAAGCCTTCAGGGTCATGAAATTGATCAGCATTTATCACCATTTGAGAGAGATTTAAAGCCTTCAAGAACATGTAATTGATCAGTATTTTATCACCGTTAGTTTGTCCCTTCTGTGTTTTTGATATCTTATTAATATGGTTGACAAAATTTGAAGTCTTCAGGTACATGTAAGTATAGGTAAGAACTGGCTAGAAGGAGAGATAAAAGCTACCAAAGAGGTTGTTTACCAATGCACTAATACCTTCGTGCCCACGCTTATGAGAGAGAAAATAACCTACGACATATAAATGATAATGAACTTTGGCGAAAAGTAGAGAATAAAGAAGGCTAATACAAATCAAAAAAGAAGAAGAAGAAGAATTGAGAGAATACAAAGACGATGATGAAGATGAAAGAAAATGGTGAGAAATAATAAAATCGAAAGATATATAAGAGGAATAAGAAAGAAAAAAAGTACAAGTCAAAGACGATGAAGAAGAAGAAGGAAAATATGAGGAAGAAGAAGATGAAGAATTTGGGGCAGAAAAAGAAGACAAATGACTTAAAACTGGAGAATGAACAAGAAGACGAATAAAAACCAGAAAAAGCTAGAGAATAAGGAAAATAAAAGGAAGAACTAAACCATAAGATTAAGAGTAAGAAGGGTAGACCAAAACATAAGAGGAAGAAGAAAAAAAAGACAAATCCGAAGAGGAAATGAAATAAAAGTTAAAGACGATAAAAAAGAGTGATAAATAAGACAAAGAATATCAAAAAAAAGAGGAGTAGTAAAAATTGAAAAAAAATTAAAGATGAAAAGAAACTAGAGAATACGATAATAGTAATGATGAAAAAAAATAAAGAAAATATGATTGGTAAATGTGGTTTAATATTTACTTTATTTGAAAATACTGATAGTTTTTTATTTATTTAATATATCGTATTAATGATTGAATACTTTAATATTATCTAAAACTCTGAATGGATTGAAAGAAACATATTATATTTATTTAAACTATATGTGGATATATATTATTTAGACTAATATACATAATAATTTCATATTTCCATTTCCACTTTGAGAACATATATATACAATTGATTTTTTTTTTTTAACATCTCATTCATTCATTAATTTCAAATCGTATACAAAAGTTGATACATCAATAATACAATAATGAACAAATCCAAATACACAACCACAATTACATAACCAAACATTAAGAAGAACAATGAAGAAGTGAATTTCCACGATGCTTTGGATACCGAAGCCTTACTCGCCAACAGGTTATTAAACCCATTTATTTCCTTCTCCAGAATCAATCCCAAAACAATGAGATTGTCGTTCTTGACTATCATCTCTTGGATGAAACTCCATAAACATCTAATATTATTGATGATATTGAGTATATTCTCTTGCACTGATTCGTCGATTCTCCATAAATATGCTATACCCGGATCCCATATTCGCTGATCGAAACACCATATGTCTCTTTGGGAATTAGACTCAATCCTTTCTACTGATTGGAATTGTAAATAACGGGCATCATGAAAGATTGAAAACACTTTCATGGAGATAACTGTTTCGTCTTGGCTTAAATCAGAACACTGACCCACTCCAACAACGAACCATGAATGAAATGCCTCCATAATCGGAGGAAGTTGCAGGAAACGTAACCGTTTCTTATTTAAAGAAGTGACCCAAATAGAGTCTCTAAAAACATGTTTGGACATATGCGCAGTATTACCTTTTGAATACAAATCTTCCACCGGTGCTCTTTGAACCAGAGACTGCTTCGACATGATCATGAATTGAGAACCGATGGTCTCCGGTGAAAACTGGATTGTGACCTCCACCACAATCAAAAGTAAGAGAACAGATGGGGAAGAAATTCTTCTCAATAACACCATACTCATCCAAATTTATTGTACAAAGAAGGAAAGATGAAACTAGACTTAAAATTCTACAGAGCCACCGGCAAAAGCCGGCGGCGGGAACCGAGAAAAGAAGTTACGGGTGTTTGTAATGAAAATTTTGAATCAAAAGTTTACATAGTTTTTATTAAAAAAAAAAAAACTGTATGACAGCGCATGGTATGAAAAATGAAAGTAATTGTACAAGCTAATTATTTATAAATTCAATTTATAATTTTGAATATAATTTTAAAAATATTAAAAATAACTATCTAAAATAATTCTTTCATCTAATTAAAAGATTTTAAAATTCAAAATAATGGAAAATAAATAAATTTAACATTAGGTTTGCTGTTTAACTAGAGAAAAAAAAAAGTCAAAAAAAGTGTCAAACGTTTATCACCTTACATATTCAAAATAAAAGAAAACAGAAAATGAATTTGATAGATTCAATGGCTAGGAAAAATATGTAAGTGATAAAAAAAGTAGTCATCTTCAATTCTGTTAAAATCATTTGTGTAGTCTAGCCTCCAAGAACAAGATAAATAATGAGTCGAACATTCAACCATTTCATTTAGGA